GATAGGCACCTTAACCAGGAAAAACTGCACTTGCTAGAGCATTTGTAGTAATACTCTCTCCTCTATCCTACATTCCACTACAGTTTCCTTTTGCTCCTGAAGGACAGAACTGCAGTTCTTAAGATTCATGCAAAGCTAAGGGGGTTGCTGTTTGCATTAACATCTGGATTACTGCTATAATTGCTAACTCAAAATGTCAGGAATCCAGAAAGTAAACTTTTTATTATAATATAACACACATGCAGAAAAGTACATAAATCAAAGGTGTACATTTTGTCAACATTTTAATGTGGGAATTTAAATTGTTAATGAGCATATAATATATGCCACTAAGAGGGAAGGTCATAAATGAAACACAGGAACTAGAGGTCTAGCTGTATTCACAGGCTTGCTCTTCTCTGGACCCTTAATGGCACCCAAGTGTCTTGTTTCATGCTGTTCATAGGATGGAGTAGCACAGCTAACCTCAAGATGGCTTAGAAAGATGCTTCAGTATATAAAGGAGCTTCTATACATGTATAATTAATTGTCCAGACTTAAGTTGATTTAAAAGTAGGAACTTATAAACATGGCAGATAACCTTGGGTCAATAAAGGTTTCACAAAACATGCAAGGCAGACTCATTTATGTATTCACTAGACAGACAGACCATCCATCTTTGCAGGAACAATGCACAATGTACAAAACTCCCAGTTATTATTATCCATCACTTCCTTAACAGAAGGACTCTGAGTTTGTTTTTTCCTTTAAAAAAAAAAAAGTTTTTTTCTCTAATGGCAGTGACGTTTTCTTTCCTCACCTGCCGATCTCTAAACTGTATGTTTGTAAGTTGTAAATTGAAGATTTAAACCATATCAATTGTTTAAAACAATTCCACACAATGCACCTACCTTTGCTCCCACACACTTCCATTGTATGATTACATCAAGGCCCACGTCTCCGCTACTATCTGACCCTTGTTCACTTTCTTCCCTCCCCTCCACCCACCAAACTTTGCCCTTCCTGCCAAAGTTCAGCGCTTCCTAGAAAAGTCTCTGCCTGTTTGATATTGTGCTTCACTTTAGTCACCAAAGGAAGGGTTCACAGGTGCTTGGCCCCATCTATAAGACCATGACCGAAATCTGACCTCCTGTTACAATACATGAACCTCTGCCCTACTGATAAGGCTGGCAGATATAAGTAGGATTTTTCAAATAATCCTTTGGGAATTTATAAGCAGCACAGCCATAAAGGGGGGTGAATGGAAGGTCGGTTTCACTAAAAATAATAAATATTGCCATGTTTATTCAAAGTGTGCCTTGTTATGCTCCAGGCCAAAAGTTCAGATAAACACTATTGTAAATGACAAAATATTAGAACTTTTTGTTACTTGTGTTATGATCCTTCCGTTGAACACCAATAGAACTGTTTTCTCCTGTATAAAGCCCTGACATTGACTAACATGTCCTAAGATGAGAATACTGGATTTGCTTGAGGGTCAAAAGAAGGGTGGTTATCTTTTACAAAAAGAAAAAAAAAAACAAATACTATTATACAGTGCTAATACTAACATTAAGTAATAAAGCAAAAAGAAAAGGGAAAAAATGACCAGAGTGAATAAATATTATACCTGTCCTAAAAGGACTTTCCATTTATTGATATGAAGAAGAATATACCTTATTATGATGGTCAATGCAATAAACATAGAAACACACACAGGGACTATACCATATACAAATGTGAAGAACAGATCTACTGAGCTCAGACTCCAGTACTAGAAAAACTTTCTGGATGACAAGTGTAAAATAAGGAACAATCAAGAAATTAAAATGAAAAAGAATGAAAAGAGAAAGGCAATGGGATGGGAGTGATGACTGAGGTAGAAGGCCAGGGTGCAGAAAGGGTGACAGCCACAACATGCATCACAATTTGAAAGCAAGATGGTAAGCAGCAAGAAATGTGAAAGACCTCTAAAGAGCCATGGATTCCTTCAATATTTCTGTGTCTTATAAGACAGATGGCCTGTGAGATTATGCTAGCCACAGAACTAGGACCATGGCAGGAGTTAAGTGTCTGAGATCAAGGGTAGAGGGAATACTTAAGGTGACTGCTTTCACTAGGAATGATAAGTGAATGGGGGCAATGGCCTTAAGATAGGGTGTGGGGAGAATAAGATAAAGTTCAATTATATTCACAAAATCTATAGGTCTAGATGTACTACTGAGGAAAGACCAAGAGTGTGATTATTAAAACAATCTATTTATGGCTTCTAGACCACTGAAATTTCGGGAGTCTGCAGGGGCAGTGAAGCGTGAGAGACATATCTGAACACTTAGTTTCTACGACACTAAGTCTCCATAAGGCTGAGTGCAGTGGGTTTCTTTGTTTGCTTGTTGCTGTTGTCATTAGGGAAGACTGAACCCCGATCCTCCCACAATGCAAAGCACATCATCTACCACTAAGCCCACGCCCAGTCCCAGCATATGCACCTTTTAACAAGAACAAGAAACAGAGAAGAGGCACAGGTAGAACCCTGGGAACAGTGAAGAGTACAAAGATGAGCCAACAAACACCAACGTGGGCAGCAATATCAGAAAGGCTGGCAGAGAGGAAGACAATGAGATTAACGGATGAGAGATAAAAATGATCAGTATGGTCAATGTCCTGCAAGATGCACACTCAGGGAGTAATATGAGGGAAAAGAAGCATTTTGGATTGATCAGAATGAAGAAATGAAGACAATATTGGAACGCAAGGAACTAGTACTACATAGTTTATGTTCTTAGTCTGCATTCTTCAGTTCCCAAATCCTCTTTTTCTCAAGGCCTAAGATGACTATATTAGAAAATAAGATCATTGTAATAAATATTTATGTTGAGTAACATTTTTAAATATTCTTGTTAATTCTGTGAGAAACTTTACCATGAAGTGATGTGCACAGCTGACTTGAACACAGCTTTACATAATAACAAGATTACAGCCTCAGCTCTATGAATTCAGAACCAGGTTGAATATGCTCCACCATCCTTTACCAAAACTGGTATTGGATTTTATTCAGAGTCCCCATAAGTCTAAAAGAGGAGTGTCTAAACTATAAACATATATTCCAATACAATGAGTTCACCAGCTGTGAATTTCCAAACCACAGCAACACTGCCAATGGTCTTAACACCTGCACAGACCAGGAACCTGCCTTAGACATTGTTACAGGAAATCTGTAAGTATCAAATATGTCACCATTTCAAATACTGATATGTAGAAACCTATTCCAATTAGACAGTTTTGAAATTTGATCATTTCTAAATCAGTAGACTCTAGTTCTCATAAGTTAAGCCTGTATGTTCCTTGTTAATTAAGAAATCATCTTAATTGTCTATTTGTTAATTAAGAGTCTAGATCTCCTTCCTATACACATGTCTGTACTTCACAGTATATGCTTCTGAAAATACTAGTGTTGTATCTATACATCAGCACCTGAAATAATATCATCTAACCATAAAACTGCCATTTATTAAATGCTAATCATTTGCCAAGGACTGAGTGGACATAATTTCACTGTCACTAACTAAACTAAGCAGGAAATTATCATCCCATTTCATACATGAGTGTGCTAGACCACCCTAACACACACAGCTACAAAAATGTGCAAGTAAATGATTTTACTACTTTGTTGGAATTCCCACTTGAGGCAAATCTGTGGTCTTCATAAAAACATAACAAAGGGCTGGAGAGATGGCTCAGCCGTTAAAGGCTAGGCTCACAACCAAAAACATAAAAACATAACAAAGCTTATAAAGGCAGCACACGGTGGTAAAACAGTGCTGACATGTCAGCGCCATCCCAAGAGTGCACTTCCACACTGGCAACAGCAACCATTTACAGCACAAACCCTCACCACTTACCTAGACATTCACACATACCCCAATGCGCACCATTGATGACATGATAAAACACTGAAGATAATGCAAGGCGAATATTGTCATCTTGGAACAGGGGGGTTTGGAGGAGAGTTGGTTTGAGGTTGGGGAGGTGGTTGCTTGTTTGTATGTTATTTCAGCTTTATTTTTGTTTGTTTGTTTTATGGAGGGTCAAACATTATGAACTATAACTTTAAAACTGATGAGCCTGGTTACCTCAAAATTAAAGACTTCCATTTCAAGATACACAAATACAGTTTGCAGGACAGAGACAAACTGGAAGATGTTTACAATATCCTAAACTGTCAACTACATAGGAGTAATCTCTGAAATTTCTCTTTCCAAGAAAACCCAAAATAAAATACTAGTCAAGGTTTAGAAATATGTATGAAGTAGTTAATGAATCTATTAAAGGAAAGCACAATTTTATAACAGCAGTCAAAGAAATTCACATGTACAAACACTGTACTCAGGACCCACCAGGCTCTTCACCAGTACCTCTGCACACAGGCAGATGGCCACTGTAGGGAAACAGCCAGTTCCTAGGGCTTTATTAATACCACAGTAATCCCCTTTCAGAAAATTTATTTTGCTAGTGCTTTACAGAAAAAAAAGGAACTGTCAAAAAATACTTTTCATAAATACTTTAATGTAAGAAAAGGAAGCTATTCTAGATATATTAGAAACAGAGAAATCTGAATACATGTAACTATCCTACTCTTTTTGTTTTGTTTGAGATAGGGTTTCTCCATGTAACAGTTTTGGCTGTCCTAGAACTAGCTCTATAGACCAGGCTGGCCTGGAACTCACAGAGATCTGTCTGCCTCTTCCTCCCAAGTGCTGGGATTAAGGGCATGCACAGCCACTGCCTGGCTAACTATCCTCCTACTTATAACCTACCATCTACTGATGGCAGTTTGAGCTGTTATCACCTATATAGCATTTTGCAGAGCAAAATATAAACAAGATATAAGCAAGAGCAGACGGAATTAGTTAATACCCATGAAACAAAGTTTTGATTAAAAACAAGTTGAAAAAGTAATAATAAATCAGAATTTTGGGTTGAACACATATCAGTATTAGGAAGGTCAGATAAAGACTCACCAGAACAGAATATATGTGCAGACACCGATATACAGGAGAGAAATCCACCAAGTCTTGAGCCCCAGGTACCTAGAAGCAAACAATTACAAAATATCAAATAAAATTATTATGGGAAAGGTTACATTAACTTTATTTTTATAAAGTAGTTATTTATAAATTAGTTATTTATTTTCAAAGCCACCTTGATATTCTGAGAGGGAAATTCAAAACAAACAAAAGAAAAATGTTCTCAGGTTGCAGTGATGGCTCAATGCTTGCTGTTCTTGCAGAGGACTCGAGTTCAGTTCCCAGCACTACATAATAGGTCACAACCATCAGTAACTCCAGTTCCAGGGATCCAATGCCCTCTTCTGGCCTCCTGGGGTACTCACACACAGGTGGCATACACACAGGGAGACACATATACATACACATAAATTTAAAAAAAAATAACCTTAAAAAAAAAGTCATATTCCCAAGCAAGATACATATCGGTAATGTGATTCTTGAACTAGGGAGACAGGAGCATCAGGAGTTCAAGGTCATCTTTAGATACATGAAATTCTGTCTCAAAAATGAGAGAGACACAGAAAGAGACCGACAGAGTAAGAGGGAGGGGGAGACAGACAGACAGACAGAGTAGTTTTCATTCTAGTCACAAGCTGTGCTGACAGGGTGCAGGTGGCGCAGTCCCACAGAAATGAGAAGATAAACTGCTTTCTCTATCTCCTGAGACACTGAGCCTAGGGACACCTCGGAAAGTGTAAAGATGAGGCTGTGACTTTGGTGACCTTAGTGTCACCTTCTTAAATGCATAAAGCTTACCAAAAAAAGTTTCAGTGGTTAAAGACAAACATGCTACCCAAGATGACTGTTTTTAATGGCCAGACAATTATTAAAGGGCATATATGCTTAAGGTCTTTTCCCTCAAAACACAGAAGTAATACAAAAAGAGGGTACACTACATTAAAAATGAGATGGCAAATGACAAATGGAAAAGCCAAACCAAGAAGTTACTCAACAGACTTTGAAGTAAATAATGAATGATATACTGACTAAACAAACATCAAATTTTTTTTCAAAAGTAAAGATCAGGTAAGAACTAAAATCAGTTTTCAGAACTAATAAGAATTTGTTAGCTCACTTGGCAAGGAGGAATTCAGAATGAACTTTGATCTAAATGTCCTCAGCTGACAAAGTAAACTATCATTTGCCATACACAAATTCAAAATGAATAAAAGGGGACCTGAAAATACATGTTACACAAAATGAAAGCAAAAAAAAAAAAAAAAAAAAAAAAAAAAAAAAAGGAAAGAAAGAAAAGTACATAAGTAGTTATTACAATACAGACCTAGCTGGTTTTTCCTGTCACAATAGTAACTATGTAAATCGCCTGCCAAAAACAGCTGAATCATGGTCACAGTGCCGGCTCCCTTTCTGTCATAAAACAAACACTGTCTCCTCTTCTCTGGCCACAGCTTCTCTAACCAGGGCTCTCCTCACGGTGAAAATGTTCTTTGTTCCACAGACTGCACCCTGTCTGGAACCACCTGGCATTCTACCTTCTGCTCTGCTCCACGAGGCCCATCATAGGTCTCCATGTTTAAGCTCTAAGAGTGCTGAGGCCTCTTCAAGTAAAATAGCTGTTGTGGGAGCCAAAAGACTGTGCCATGGGGTCACTGATGCCCAGTGACCTGTCGCCTCCATATGATGGCAGCATGGAAAGTTTAAGGAAATTACCTTGCCAGACAACAAGAGCTTAAAATGATATAAAACACAGCATCAAAAGTAAACATTTTTAAAGATTTATAATAGCATTTACACTACGTAAAAAAAAAAAAAAAACAATGAGTACATATGAAAGAAAGACAAAGGAAATATGCAGGGTAAAACTGGATCTACACAGGAAATGAAAATACTTATTTAGAACAACCGTGGTTACTTATGATAATATAAAAGGTCTAGAGAACTTTTCTTGCCTAATTTTGACCAGCAAATTCAGCCAGAGCCTTGCTTCACAAGTTCCTCAGGCAGTCTGTTTATTTAGGTTCACTTCGTCACAGAGCCAGCTTCTCTCAAGAAGAAAACCACAAGAAGCCATTCCTCAGACAGAACCTTGGCCCATGAACTTGTCAGAGCCATCCTTACAGAACAAATAGCAATAGCAAGAGGCATTTCCCTAGAGAGCTGGGACAAGTAACTTTACAGGCCCCTTAGCAACTAGGAAAGGCATTTTGTTGCTAATAGATTAGGAATGGTCTATCTCTACTGATGTTTTTAAAAGGAGTATCTTGAAAGGTGGCAAAGTTCTTTCCTGTCGTTCGGCAGCATGTTTGTCTTCTGTTTACAGTGTTCTGATGTATAGGTGTTTGTTCTTAGCCCCAAACCTATCAGATACATTTCCCTGAGTACAAGCGTAACTGTCCACTTTGAAAGCACCACAAAGAAGCCAGGCAGAAAGTAAAGGGACAAAAAGAGGCTGCAGCTCAGCGACGCTCCCTCCCTCCACAAACAGCCCAATATTTAGAAAGCCCTTTTCCTCCCTGCTCCCCTCTGAGAGCACACTAGGAATGAGCACAGCTAGGAAGGCAGAGAGTGCTGTGAGGATAGAGGCATGACAAGTATGCACTGACTCATGTTGCTTTGAGCTGGATGTGTTTTCTCTGCTTCTACTAATGAAAAAGAATCACTTACATCTACAGAAGGCAAGAGGAGAAGAGCAACAAGCACTGCGTGAAGGAATGTCACCCTTCTGCAAGATGGAATGTAGGAGGGCTCAGGGACAAAAGCTGCTGCCCCTGTACTAACTAGCAGTAACCTGTCTGCTCTGAGGTGCACACTCTGCTCTCCAGTCTGCTTGGGTGTGCAGGCTTCATATTTTCTACCCCTCCTTGTTTCTCTTGCCCTCAAATTGCAAAGAATGATTCAAGCAGACTTAGGTTTCATCAAGGAGGGGCCCAAAGACATTTTCCTAAGCTAACAATGACTGTCTCTAATTGTTTCTTTCTCCTAACAAAAGCCATGACTCTTATCAGCTTCATCTAATTTTTCCTTTCCAAAGTAAATAACACAGCCCTTGCATTTTACACATGTCCAAATTTGACAAATCATTATCCACAGAGACTGGAACTGATAAGAGATAACTTTGTGGTGGGACACTGTCATTTCCTCTTACAAGGGCTTTCTTTGGGGCTACAACAACATTATTAAAATAGTTAAACATTTCCTTTGCCTGGCAGTCAGGAACTCAAGACATTAAAACCCTGGAGTCTGTATTTTCCTACAAGTTCAAATAGACCTAGGAAGACACCAGCAGTGACTACAAACAGTACACAGGACATGACCCTGCTTTGTCTCTTAATGTTAAGAAATCATATGAAATCACTTCATCACCAAGGACAGCAACTGCCTAATTGGCTGCACAGTTCCAAGAGCAAAGTGAATGCCTCCCACCAGCCAAAAACTCAGGATTTCTCAAGAAGCAACAGTTGGTAAGATTTTAGATGGTACAATTATATAATTTGCACCCCCAGAGAATATCATATAAGGTAAGAAACACAGCATTGTTTAACAAAACAAATAATAGCTATTAAAAGGGATGTTAGAGTTCACTGAACCACAACACATAAGTAGAGAGGGAGGCAACTGCTGCACACTCTTACCATTGCACATTCACAAAGACAATAACAGTTTCAGCCAAGCCAGTGCTTTCTAACTCGTCTATAGAATATTTATTCAGCAGCCTTTACATATGATGCATGCATCAGCAACCATCGCACAAGCTACCTTCAGAGGAAAAAATGACTCTAGGACAGAAGAGAATACAGATTAAGAAAAGCATAAACAGGATTAATAACAACTGAAAATTATATCTATGTAGACACTATTTCTTGAAGAAAAATTGAAGATTTGGGGTAGTCATGAACTATCTCACAGTTAGGAAGAAAAAAATTATTAACATCTTTTATCATGAAAGTTTTTAAGAAACACCAGGATCTGGTTGACATGTGCTCTCTCCCTTCAGGTAAAGGGCTCCCTGAGAATGGGAAATGAGTGACGGAAGTCCTTCTACTCAAGCATAAGAGGACACTACTCTCTACATAAGAGAAAATAATCCGATTTAAAGCAAACGATGACACTCAAGCTTAAACAGATGCTAATCTTCCCTTCCCCACAAAGAGTCTGACTGAGTCTACTTTCTCTGTTTTGAAAGACTAGTTAAAGCCGATGTCCTGGTATGCCGAGGAGACTCAGGCAGAAGGAACTTAAGTTTGAAACCAGACTAGATTTCCTCTCAAGGCTTTGTCCAATAACGATAATCTGCAAACAAACTTATCTAGCCTAATAAATGTTCCTTCTTTGTTGCTGGATAAGCATAGTCTTATACAAGAGAAACTAAATACAAGAAAGAGTTAATTTCTTCCCTGCACCCACCCCAAAGCAACAAATAGACTATGATCCTCCTACACTGCTCATAAACACAGAACATTACTTCACTTCAGTCTTGTGGTTCACACATTTGCCCCAGAGGACAAACATATACACAAAAACCTGCTCTCACTCGCCTTTGTACACATTCCTCATTTATTTTCCTCTTAAGAAACCTTTCAAAATAGGTAAAAAAAAAAATAGAGTGAACAAAAAGAATATGATAGAGGCTCCTAGGAATTTAGGTATGTTTCTCAATAATTATTTCAGCCATTTTCCACCATCAAAATTCTTCTGATTGCTACATCACACAAAGCAGTGCATAAACCAGGGCTCACTTCTAAGCATTAGATGGACCTGAAGCCATTAAAATGTACCTCTCTTCTTCTGCAGGGAGTGAACAATAAATGATTAGCTAGAGAGACTTGGCTTCTGAATTCAGAGATTCAGTCGAAGCTACCCATGTTATGTTTGGAAGCCAGGAAATACCTGGCAGACATCTTTCACAAGGATGCTTTCTGAACTACTTTGCCTTCCCAAGTTTAGAGAAAAGATGGGTAGAATCCATTTGGATATGAGATCTCATAAACACAGACTAAACACCACAGAATACCAACAAATTAGGAGAACTAGGATCCTGAGAAACCAGGAGTATCATGAGG